GACCTGAGCCAAAGTTGCACGCTTAACCGACTGAGCCACCCAGGCGCCCCTTAGAATACATTTCTAAAAGTCAAACTGGTTGGATCAAAGGAAGTGCGCATTCTTTTTTTTAATGTTTACTTATTTATTTCAAGAGAGAATGAGAGCGGGGGAGGGGCAGAGAGAGAGAAAGGAGAGAATCCCAAGCAGGCTCTGTGCTGCCAGAGTCCATCACAGGGCTTGAACCCATGAACCATGAGATTATGACCCAAGCTGAAATCTAGAGTCGAATGCTTAACCAAGTGAGCCACCCAGGTGCCCCAGGAAATGCACATTTTACAGCTATTGATGTGCATTACCAAATTGGTCTCCAGAAAGATTGTGCTATTTTATACTTATTTGGTATTTGAGAATCCCCCTTTTTTACACTCATCAATGTTGAATGCTACTATTTTTTTTTAATTTAATATTTGGAAATATTATGGGGTGCCTGGGTGGCTCAGTTGGGTAAGTGTCTGACTTCGGCTCAGGTCATGATCTCATGGCTCATGAGTTCAAGCCCCATGTCAGGCTCTGTGGTGACAGCTCAGAGCCTGGATCCTGCTTCGGATTCTGTGTCTGCCTCTCTCTCTGTCCTTTCCCCATTCACACTCTGTCTCTGTGTCTCCCTAAAATGAATAAATGTTAAAAAAATTTTTGTTAATATTTGGTAATATTATAAGTTAAAAAATGCTATCCTTTGTATTTGTAGTTTGCATGTCTTTGATTACTAGTTGGTTGACTGTATTTTCATATATTTACCTGCCATTTGTCTTTTCCTTTGCCCATTTTATAATTGTTGTCAGGGAATCCTAGTGCCTAGAAGGCCCAGAGAAGCTCACCAATGCTGGCATGCCAAGATAATTCTACTTGAAAGGACATAGTTTTGTTGATATTTTTCACGAGTTCTTTGAGATATCCTTAACGTCAGAAATTCCAAGATTGAATTATAACGATTTTCAGAAAAGAGTGGGGACCAGTGCCCTATTCTTACCTTTACCCGTCATTCTCTCTGTGGGCTTGGGTACCATCCCAGCTGCTCTCTCCAAGAGATGGGCATGGTTGTAGTGATTGTCTTTTTCTTACTGATTTAAACGTACATAGAGAGGTAGAAGTAAATACATAAAAAGAAGTCTAAGGAGCTTAAATAAAGAGAACTCAGAGTCCTCTCATTACAGCACGAGCAAAAAGATGGAATCAGAGAAACCTGGTACATTCAAATCCAGGTAGTTCAGTGTACTATAATTAGAAAAACTGGAAAAGTTTTTCATTGTAGTTTGTCTTGGTAAAATATCTTAAAAACCTTTAAAAAAAAAAAAGCAATTTCTGAGCACATACTATTTGTCAGGTGCTGGGGTATACCTGCCCTTGTGTTGTGTAAGGATCTGAATGGAGAGAATATCCTGTAATTAATCCTGAGTGGGGCTACCCCAGTAATTTTCTCTTTCTCTCCAGCATAGTCCTGCTAAAATTACTTGTGCTAATTTTGAAAGAGAAATAAGTAAAATGACATTGTTTACCCCATCCTAGATTAATGGGTTTAGTTTTCAGTTTAATAAGCAAGGACACTGAAGGACAGTCACGCTGGCATATATAAAGTAAAGGGATGTGATGTGGGAGAAGTCAATACTGATTACATCCTATAATTGTGCTAATTGAAAGATCTTCAGAGCCTCCTTTTGAAACCCTGGGGTTCTGTGTCTTCAGTGAAAAGAGTTGCCTTTCCTCTTAGGAGGCTGCAATGTTAATGTGACAGCAGGAAAGCCAGTTTGATGACTAGGAGCAGGGGAAGAATTCAGTTGAACTTATTAGAAATCAGAGGCTTTCAAACTGGTACATTTTATAACGTAAACAACTGGCTAATTAAGCTGTTTAAACACTGGTAATTTGACCAAAACCTTTCATTTAAGGGGGAAAATGGTTAATTTAACAGTAGCTTGAACCAGCTTTTTAATTAACCAGCTGCTCTAATTATAGGAATTGCCCTAAACTGAATTTGAAAATGCTTATTCGCCAAGGAATTCCAGCAGATGAGAGGCTGAGGCAGGCAGTGTGGCGCTTTCGCCTAAGATGTGTCACCATCTCAAAGATCACCTTTTTGAAACCAGTGGGGGGGGGGGGGGGGGGGGGGGGGGCGGTGATTCAGTTTCTGTGTACTTAAAGATGGTGGTTGGAATCTGAATTTTCTTCTTTATTTACACAGGACGTTTCACTATAAAGCGGAAGTATCCAAGAATTATAACCACGAAGTAAATTCGATGGTCTTTGTATGTTTAGGGCAACAGAGTAGGTTCATGGAGATGGTGATATTTGAGCTGGCGCTGGAGGCTGGCTAGGATTTCACTAGTCCGAGAGGTGTAGTCCCGGCAGGGGGGCCGCCCAGCATGGCACAGAGGCACGACAACTGCGTGGCTTATACAGAATGGCAAGCGTTCTTTCTGTGGCTGAGGAGCAAGCTCTAGAGGATGGAAGGGGGGGGGGATGTAGATACAGTGAGATCAACAACAACTCAGCCAAGGCTACTGCTTGAATCTCCTAACCTACCCACGTTCTCTTTCCCCACCCCCTTGTCCATACATCAACCAAAGAGATCTTTTAAAAACATACCAGTCATATACTTTCCCTGCTTTAGGCTGTTCAGCTTGAAATCCAAACCCTTCACAAGGCCGAGAGTGGTGTGTTCCCACCCCTGCTCTAGTCTCTGGTATCTTCTGTGCCCTTTTCACTTTGCTTCAGGCACACTGACAGCATTTCTCTTCCTTGAATGTGCCAAGTGGTGTCCCACAATGGGGCCTTTGCACATGCCGTTCCCTCTCCCTGGAACATTTATCCTCTGTCTTTTGCCTAATAAATTGCTTTCAGGTCTCAATTTGTTTTATTTATTTTTTTGAATAGATAATATGTGTATATCTTTATCTACAATAAAGATACAAAAGAATATAAAATAAGCAGTAAGTCTCCCACTCCTCCTGCTTTCTAATCACTTCCCATCCTTGTGGATAACCACTATTTTCCTCTGAATTCTGGTCTCAGTTCACATGTCATTTTTTTCAGAGAGGGCTTCTCTGATCTTCCAGTCTAAAATAGATCCACCGGTTGTATGGCCATAGCCTTCTGTGCTTTTTTTTTTTCAGTATCACAATTTGTAGTTTTATATTTATTTTGTGACTATTCTGGTAATGATTCCCTCCTCCCACTAGACAGTAAGCTTCATACTACAGCTCTGGAACCTGAAGATTCAAAGGGTCAAAGGTCTTAGATTCAGAGAGACAGAATTGGGATAGTAGCCAAGAAGATACCTCAGTTGTGTTCAGTGCTCCTTTGGAACCTCTCAAAAATACCTCCTTCTTCCTTGAATGGTAAATTCTTGCTCCTCTTTAAAGAATGCATCTGTTACCTCTTCTGAACCTATTCCCATTACCCTCCCCTACTCCCACCACCTCCCCCCACCGAGGCAGATTCATTGTTCCTTCCTCTAGGCGCTCACTACCTTGTTCTCATCTCTATTAAAGTAATTTGTGCACCATAAGGTAATTATCTGCTTTCCTATCATCTTTCCCTAGTACCCATTGAGTGTCTCCAGGGAAAGGGGCATATTCTAGTCATCTTTGTCCCAGTGTCTATACAGTTTTTGGCATGTACTAGTAAATGTGGAGTAATGCATATCATGGAAGGGACTCATGATATCTAGGGTTTGTCTTGATGAAATAGTGTGGGTTGTAAATGCAGGATTGGCTCTGAAGCCAATCTCTGATTGGCCTGGCATAGAGCAGACCTGCTTGGAAGTCCATTTTAGAAAAGAGAAGCCTAAGAAACATTTCACTTCTTCACACCATTTTCTTTTTAACCTCCCTGTAGAATGGTGGCCCTGGGGAAGACGAGGGCAGGACCACAGGAACTAGGAGGAAAGGGAGCAGAACCTAGGACTAACACTTCTCCAGAAGGTAGACAGTGAGTAAGAGAGACAGAGAAGAGCTGTGGAGGGCTGGTTCTAGTGAAAGAGTAGAGATAAGAAACTGATATCTGAGCTAGGAAAGATCATATCTAGCCAGAATTTATATTCCAGAAATTCAGACGTTATAATAACCCATCTGAGTACAGGCTGTTCAGTGAGATAGACCTGGGTTTAAATTGCAGTTCTGCCTTTCACTTGCTGGATGACCTTGGCCAATTCACTATATCTTTTGAACTATAGTTTCTTTTTTCTTTTTAATTTTTTTTTAACATTTTTTATTTTTTGAGAGAGACAGAGAC